TTTATTTCTGTATAGAATCTGTTAAGGCACTGGAGAAACACTGTAGTAAAAGCTCTAGGATTGCACATGGCTTCACGTTACCAGTGAATCAGTAACACCATGCAGAATACCAGCACTTTAGACTATTAGCCTCTTCTGCTACAGCTCAGAAAGAGAACTGAATCAATTAAGCCAACAAATGGGTAACACAGTGCSGTTACACTCAAAACCATGCATGAGGCAAAGAAACTAAGAGTACTTCACAAAAGCACCTCTAAACAGAAATATAAATACATGCCTGCCAAACATGCCCCTGTGCCCTTTTGTTCTCTGAACACCAAATGTCTTGAGGCTAGTGCGTGGCTAGTAAGTTATCTTGTGCCTTACTCTCTTGCCTCTAGTTCTCCTACTTCTCTTCAGAACCTTTCATCTAAAATCTGTTACAGCAATACTTGAAGCAAATCCCAATTTTTGTAACTTCCTCCTCACTCAAATTCCAGCTCATACCCAGTAAACAATCAAGGAGACATAATTGACTTCTCTGTTCAACTTCTCTTTCCCCCTCCCCCAACAAGGGTAGTCCAGCAGGTAAAAATGTGGTATCCCCTTTAATCCTAGACCCTTAGTTATGCACCAGCACAGTACACTGTGCACAGTACATGTTGTCCACATCACCGATCTTCGAGTAATCGGAATATTAAGCAACCATTTTTTCTCCTACTTTCTCAACTATAGTAAAGAAACAACARTAGAACTGCTCTGATTCAAATGTATACACGGAAAAAAACTTCCAAGTTTCAAGAAAGATTAAAAAAACTCCTAGGAAATCAAATAACCARTTCTTTTGGGGCTCATACAGTTTAGCTGAAGAGTTACAGGGTGTAACACAGCAAGGTAGTTCCCAGTTCAACATCATGAGTTCTTAATATAGCTGTCCCACACCAGTGGCTTGCTCTCTAGGCTGTTTTGTGGCTATTTTGAAACAGAAGARTTTAGGTTTTGATTTTCCCAGCTACAGATCTCATGAGTTAATGAGTCAGAGAGACAAACAATGAGTTTATATTTCATATTTGCCATAATAAAAATCCATATGCAAAGCCTCAAATTCTCTTGGTTTTATGTGAGACTTAAAGKAACTGAACAGTACACTGTCTCAACTAATTAGTAAGGCACAGCCAGTTGCAGTTTGAAATTTTGTTTTCCCTTCTTTGACCACAACAGTACAGGACACAAGGCAGAAAATGTTGGCACCTAAGACAGAAGTCCCAAGATCCACAATGAGAACCACCAACAAAAGGTTACCAACACTGCCTAAACAAGATTTAACAATGATAAGCTTGAAGATTCTATGGTTCTCCAAAACAGATTATGGTAGATTCAACTTGCACTGATAATTTCCAGGTCAGCTATTTAGCATTTGTCCACTTTCACAGATACTACAGGTTTTATGAAGGCCAGGTTAGAAGTWTTTGGATATAAGCTAACACTGGCCTCAAACCCTAATTCTTTTGAGTAGTTTCTGTAAAGCTCTTTACATCCTTATAGGAGACCAGGTGTTTAGTATTTATTAAGTTCACAAACTAAGCTGATGTTAGCCCACAGCTGTCATATCAGGAGGTTGCATTTCCCTCACCATCCTTGCAGGGGGCACARTATAGCTGGACAGTTTCCACTCATTGCTCACATACGTCATCAAAGGTCATTTCTCAGCAAAAACTTTTTWAAAAATGGTCCATAATCTCTTCTGCTATATATTATAGCTAAATTAATTTACTGTTGAAAACATGTGTCACTTTTTAATGTCTGCCTCAAAGACACTTAAAAAGTAAAAGGTTACTGACCTTTTTATGAAAGGACTAAAGACTCTGACATTAAAGTGTCATGTGTTTATAATTTCCTTACAAAAATGCTCATTTTTATCTGTTTTATTCCTTMATTTAGAGATAAAAGGAAATGTAATCTCTTGTAATATCTGTCAATTTGCATCAAATGACTTCTTTTTCTAGGCCKGCTTTATKTCTAATCCTGTATCTTTTATCTTATATAGTTTCAGATGATCTAGACATCCTTGGAGTACACAAAGAGCTTACAGTATTGACTCTTTTTTTTTCTTTGTAATATCTATCAATTTGCATCACATGACTTCTTTTTCTAGGCCTGCTTTATGTCTAATCCTGTATCTTTTATCTTACATGGTTTCAGATGATCTAGACATTCTTGGAGTACACAAAGAGCTTATAGTATTGACTTTTTTTTTTTTTCTAATGCCTTGTTTGCTTTAATATGTTTAATTATTGTGAAAGATGGCAGTGATTCTATTGGCATTTAGAAATCTAGGTCTCAAGCAGTAACACTGTCAAAGCAAAACAGTGTAGGCTTCTCCACAAAGCTCTACCAACATGGTTCAATGCCATCTCATCCTATTATTTACTAGTTTGTACTACCTTTCCCAGTGGAAACGTCAGGCATGTTTGTAAGTAGTTTCCTGGATCATTTTTGGAGTTCTTTTAAGCAGCCATATTCATGTCACATGTGCCATTTTCCAATAGCTCTAGCACCACTGATATTAAGTAAAAACTTAGCACTACCTTCCCCAGCAAGAAATTAATTTATGATTCCAAAATGAATACATCTGATCATCCAAAATCATTATTGCTTATATTTTCCATTCAGTCTACTGATAATTCAATTTAAGGCATATTCTCAGTCTGGGCCTCCTTGTGGAATATTGTTTTGCCATGGAAAATTTCCCAGGATACTCTCCACTAAACAAAAAACCCCTCTTTACCTTCTCTGTTCTGCTTTTATTGTGATTGCTCTTCCAAGACAGCCTTAAATGTCTGTGGATCCTCAGGATTCTCTTGCAGAATTTCTGCTCATAAATACTAAAGGTACTAATAACGATTCCATTTTGGTGGTTTTTGCTCTAACTCATTTTAGCATCCTTAATCTGTTTCTGTGTTTCATGAAAATTTATTGTTCCCTCTGTTTATTTTCTTAGACAAAACTTCCTTTGTGCCCATCTTTTTGGAAGGTACCTTCTTTTTTTTAGGTTTTTTTATAATTGTCCTACCCCTGTGTATTAATTGTGCTGGCATCCTTCACTGAAACCAGAGGGGTAAACAATTGTACAAACTGTCCTACAGCAAACTCCCAAAGAGCATAATGTAAACAGTGGATTATGGACTTCCAGTGCACCCTGTAAATTTTATTTACAATGTACTACTAGTCTTACTGCTAAGACTAAAACCAGTATTAAACTTTCTATACAATAACCACATTCCAAAGCACAACAAGGAGCACAGAGCAATCCAAGTAAYCAAAACCTACTCTCATAGTATAGGAAAAAGAACCTCTGCACAATCTTTTTGGAAGTGCCAATTCCTTTCTCTAATTCATTGTTACCATACTGAACTAAAACTATTAAATTTATAAACACTATTTGGAATCATGCCAGTGTGACCAACAGAAGTGAAATTCTAGGACCCTTAATTAAGTGTGTGCCACATTCAGGCACCAGCCCCCTCACATACTAAGAGCTGCATGGTGGAAGCTTGACTTAATTTGTCAAAAAAAAAACCAAAACTGAGGGATGTATCTGGTTAATTATAAGGTTATGCACAAGAAAGTATTTCCATAAAACAGAAATTATTTTCTAAGGTAACAAATGCATGCTTTAAACAAGAATTAAAGCAAAATCACACTATTCAGGGCACTACTGTGGAGCAGGTGGGTGTTAGATACAGAGGCTTTGTAAGAAAATTGCTACACTATTAAACATAGTATGTCTGGTAGAAGACTATCTTGAAAACCTACTATATGCTTTATTATACTATGCTTTAAAACAGCTTAATTGTCTGTTTTTACACAGAATCCTTTGTGCAGTCCAAGAAAGAAAATCACATTGCTACAAATCATAGGAATTGCATCTTAGGCCTATCAAAGTTTCTTTGCTGAGTCATATCATCTGACTAGTCACACAAGAATACATGTCAGCTTGTAGCTTGTCATGGAGATGATTAGAGTTTTTCTGAAGGAGCTGAAGCTAATGTGCTTAAGCTATCAGACAAAAATGTCATATATGCTCTTTATGTGCATTTTGTTCTCCATATTAAATCATATGCATCATAGATCTTTAAGGACAAAATTACTGATGCACAGCACATGTGCTCCTTTAACCACCACAGTTTACCCTGCAAAGTATTAGCAAATATACGAGTTCTTAAGACTGAAGAAAGGAAATTAACATGCTCTATTTTCTTCTGCTATTTAGTTGTAATCTCTCAGGGATTTTTTTCCACATAATGATTTATTCTTGTTGAAAATTTTGGGTCCACATTCTRATTATGCCCTCCAGCAACTGGACTAAGTTCCCAAAGTTAAGTGGTCTTTTTACTCTTGCAGAGGCCCTACATTTTATGGCCAGCAATACTTCACAAAATTAATTACTGCCTCCATTTTTTTATCAATGCCTACTACATCCTACAGGTTTTTGTTTAGAATGTATGTTTCTTTGTGTTCCTTGTTCCATGTTTCCAAAGCATATTTCTGCTGGAGGCTGCTTGGTCTCAGCTCGACAGTGGTGGTATCTAGAGTCTCTAAACTTTCAGCACTGTCATTTTGCATCTTTTAATTAGTTTGGCCTCTTCCCATACTTTCACTAGAACCTCAGTATGTTTTTTATCSGATTTATCACTCTTTACAGCATATTACCCTCCCTGAGGACAACAGCGAGGCCTCGCCAATAACACCAATATTAACAAGCRACCACAAATTAGCAGCTATGATATCGGACCTGGTTTTCGCTACACATCCCACGGAGAAACCTTTCCGGGGGCCCTCGGGGTAAACAAGGATTGGGCAAACTCTAAGTCCTACAAATTCAAGGCAGAAGCGCTTACTTTCTGGAATGCTGCCAGCGAAGGGCGGCCCGGAGGAGGGGCTGTCGCCTCACAGCGCCCGCCCGCCCGTGCGAGCCCTGGGCGCTGTTCCCGCCCCTGACCGCGCTCCAACAGGTCCGTGAGCCGGGCCGGGCTGGGCGCACACCCGCCTTCCCCACACGGCGGAGGTGCGGCGGGCTGGGCTGGGCTGGGCGCACACCCGCCTTCCCCACACGGCGGAGGTGCCGCGGGGCCGCTCCGAGCCCGCCTGAGGGAGCCCGTGCCGGGCGCGCGGACCGGGCGCACCGGGCCCCCCCAGCCCAGCGACACGGGGCGCCCGCCCCGGGCCCGCCGGCCATGGAGCCGCCGCCGGACACCGCTAGCCAGGTACCGGGCGGACACCGGGGCGGGCGAGGCGTGGGACTCTGCGCGGCTCGGCGAGCCCTCCGCCACCCGCCGGACTTGTCTGTGCGCTCCGCGGCCCGTGGAGCGGGCATGGATGTGAGGGGCACCGCGGCCGGTTGCGGCGGCTCTGGGCGCGTGAGAACGATGACGATGGAACGTCCCCGCTCCGCGGGCGGCAGCGATCGCCTTTTTATCTCTGTCCAGTTGCCCCCGAGCTCGTAGGAGGAGGAAAGAGTCATAGATCCACGCAGGGGGAAGAATACGGTCTCGGGGGCCTTATCCCTGCGAGGCAGGGAAGGGCGGCTGAAATTGGGTGTCGCGTGAGGAGCGGAGCGTGAGCGCCCTATGTTCGGCCGTGCCCCATCATCTCCTGCCGTGCCCGCTGTTGGCCATGCCATAGCGGGTGGCCTTGGCTGTCCCATGGCTCGCAAGCGGCCCAGGAGAGGACCCCGCGAGAGGCAGATGCCTTCCGTCCACCTCTCCCGCAGCCTCCCGCGTGGGACAGCTCGCTAGCCGGGCTCCCAGCTGGCATCCCGTCCTGACGGCGGGCCAGGGGCGCCCTCGGGAGCGCTGCTCTTCACGCAGGAGCCCTTTCACCTGTGTAACTCCTTTGCCCTTTCTTGGTTTTTTTTGCCCCTTCCAACTGCGGAAAGGGACCAGGGTCTGGCAGCTGCACATTGTGTTAATTTCTTGTAGCAACTGAAGAGAGGAAACTGTAGTGTTTCTTTCCGTGGTATTTCACGTCAACTGTGCTGTTAGCAGAGAGCATTAAAATTTCAGGAGACAATGACGGTGATGTTACTGCTTCTGAAATAAGTAGTGAAATAAAAACTTAGCAGAAGTCTAGATAAGAAAACAACTGAGAATGTTACTTATGAAACTATGTGATATGAAGCACTTAGGAAGTAGTGGTTACTTTGTCTGTGATGACACACGGACTTGGCGACACCAAGCAAAAATACTGAATGGTAGATTCAGAACAAATTAAAATGCTTATGTCTTCYTATGATGCATAATTAAAACATACCATTCAGTGGTACACAATAYTGTAGATGCTAAAACTTACACACGGTTTCAAAAAAGGGAGCAATTAAGAAGCAATCCATWAAGGAGTGTGATGCACCAAGAACACAGCCACTTTGGGAAGTCCAAAATACCCAAACTGAGGAAAGCTGGGACAGGAAAGTTATTTGCTAAGTGGCTATTTCCGATGTTCATATGTTCTTCCCTAGGCACCTTCCATGGTCATCATTCAGAAATGGGATACCATGTTATACTGGCCTTTGATCTGAGACGTTATTACTCTTCTTATGTTAGTGCTGCTGAAGGATTAAAGGTTCCACTTAAATACATATCCCTGTTAGAGGCAGGCAATCTTTTGCTTGTCAGTTTATGTGTGTATCTACAGATGACTCATATTTTTCACTAATTTATTTTTTTTTCCTAGGAATATTAGTGACAAGCATCTGAGTTTGTGCTGCCTGCTATSGATGCTAAATAGGCTTCTACATACATGAAACAGTGGTTTTATCTTCATACTTAGTACACAGAACACAGACATTTTCTTAATTAAGTGTGTGTTCCTCTTTTGAATTCGCAGCTTCAGTTGAAAGACAGTCTTTCTAATAAATAATTCTAAAATGTTCTCTGGCAGTGCAAATTGTGYAGTGAACTTTGATTCTTTCCCACAGAAGCTTTCTGGGACTAGCTGATTTTACAGTGTCATTAACTATTCATAATTAACTAAACCATTGAATGGCACAGAAATTTAAAATACTGGATAAAACCTTGGATTAAAGTATATTAAGATGTTGGCATGCTTTAGTAGTAACTCTTCAAATTAATTTAATTTCCCTGATTCAGGGGCTATTTTTACTGACCAATTGTATTAGCCAAAATATTTCAAAAATACTTGATTCACATTTCTGCCTTTGAAACATGGCTAAGAATGTCTTTGTTTAGCTGCCTGCCTTTGAGTTTATATACATTTCTGTCTTTCCACTTACTGTTTTTTTGAGAATTACAGAAGATTATGGGTCAGACTTATACAGGAATTAGATGCTTAATACCCCTTTGATTTCTCACTAAAAAAATGGGATTATTCATCAAAATACCTCTACAAATCTGAGTCTGTGACAATTTTTAAAAAATCTTTATTAATAGACTATGTGTAAAATCCTTATTTGCAATTATTTTTCTTATGTCTTCCTGAAATAGGTAGAAACAGATGACCAAATAGCCCTCCTTAATAAACCTAGGAATAAAGGAGGAAGCAGTGATCTGGCATCAGCTGGATTTAACATTATTAATTCAATCATAGGATCAGGCATTATAGGTAAGTCTMCTTTTCTTCACTATCCTGTGTTCAGCCTTGTTTATTCATGCACAACACCTAACTTTCTGCAGCAGTTTTTAAAGATTTTTCTCTGTMTTTATTTGCTTACTGTGTGAAAATGCAGAGGTGTCAGCTGAGAACACACCTCAGTGATAAACACCCCAGAGTCTTTTGGCCATGGTGTTCAGAGAGGTTGAGCAGGTCCTGACTGAACTTCATACTTAAGCAATGCTTTTTCCACTGAAAATTATCTTTTTGAGGTTATTAAGCGTGCTGGTCCAGTTTGGGAGATTACTAGYGTTTTTTGAGATCTGAATTTTTCTTTATTTTGATTGTCACAAATAAATATTTGGAAAGGTCTTCTAGAATCTCTTCTGCTTTGCAGGATTGCCATATTCGATGAAGGAAGCTGGTTTTCCTCTAGGAGTACTGCTTTTGTGTGTGGTTGCCTATATCACAGGTACTCTAAAGGTAGTTTCTCTTGTAAAGATAAAATCAGCCCTGCAACATTTTAGCTGATCTTGAGCTTAATGATACCTTAAACAAGTGTATCTATGGCAATAAAAATGACTAATTTTTTCCTTACTTAACTAATCCCTTGAGAAGATTAGTGAAAGTAGAGAATTACACTGTACAATATATAAAGCTGCTTTTTGATTGCATTTATTTTCATAAAGCCTTTATTTCCTAGTCAATGTAACATTTAAAAGAATGTTCTTRTTTGAGTCCTCATAATCACCTGTTTGAGTCTACTGTTTTTATCTTAATTAAGAGACTGATCCTTGAGTGGGATGTTTATGACATTTTTAAAATCTACCACAGAATTTAGTTTCTGTGATACTATGATTTTGAATATTTTTCTTCCAATATGAGCTTGTAGCTGTTGGATTTGGTGGGTTGAAAGATTTTGTGGGATTTCTCATCCTTGCTCTTCCTAGTGCCACTGCTTTTCTTCTTAGAGACTATTTTTCTTTTGTTTTAGGAGGAGTGAAAGAAGGTGAAAAGTAATCAATCACAAGTTAGTTTACATTGTCTTTAACAGTAATTTTATATTTTAACAGATTATTCCATTATATTACTGATCAAAGGAGGAAATCTGTCCAGTACYAAAACCTATCAAGAGCTGGTCAAAAAAACATATGGTCTTGTAGGTTATCTAATTCTTTCCATTCTTCAGTTTTTATATCCATTTATTGGTAAGATCACATAAAATATAAATGTTTAAGTTTTACAAGTAACAACCTTTTTCACATTACTTCATTGTTTCACTGGTTAAATACTARGAACTACATAAAGAATGTATATGCTTCTTTGCTATTTAAAAAATACATTTATGTTGTTGGTTCTGAAGAATGACAGGAGTAATTCAATGAGTTGGAGGATCAGAATAATAGAAATGAACTGAAATGTAACAGAAGAAATTAATAATCAGACATGTAAAAATTAATGACAAAAGTAGCTAGAAAAATAGCAAAGGAGATTCTGTTCTAGAATGAGTAGCCGAGCACAAAGCTGATGTGTCTGAAACAAAATGAAAATACTACTTTAGGAGTATACTGAATTAGTACTTTTTCAGAGATTCAATATTACTGAAATTAGGGAAGCTCTGTTTAGATCTTGCTTGAATATTATGTGCTGTCATTGCTCTTCAAAAGCATTAGTTCAGCCTCATACCCAACAACCTACTAGGTCAAGATCCCTTTGAAGAAATAGTAAAAGAACAAATAGGTGTAATCTGGACAGGAATTTATTAGACCAGAAGTTTAAAATAAAGTTATATTCTGAATCTGTCCCCAGCWGTAGCAACATAATTAAATCCTAAATAATCTTGGTATTTTCACATGTGGTGAGATGGTGACTTGAGATATCAAGAGTCTTAATTTGGTGATCACCGAGTCCTAGATCAGAATTCCTATTTTGGGACTAATCAGTCTGGCTACAGGTGGCTGAGATTTTTAAGGGTATCAAGTTTCTGTAACTGCAGGYAATGATGATTCCTTTGTAAATCAACTACTCCGTTGATTTACAACGATAATACATAAAAGAATTGTAAACTAGTTATGCTCTTGTATGCGTTTGAATTAATTTATGTAAGTGGTGTTAATGACTTATGACTTCACAACACTGAATATTTATGTGTTCGTTAAGGTCAATACCTAAATGTATGCTGTCTAAATGTTGAAGACCTCGAGAGTGTTTAAATGTATTTTGTATGTACRTGTGCTCAAATTTACAGACTTTTGGTGTAGAATTAGGTAAGAATGGAATATAAATGCGAAGGCCACAGCACTTATTAATGAGAGGGAGGAATCGAAGTCCGTGTCTGATATCTTAATCTATTTTCTCCTTCTTTCTTCTGGTTTAAAGATTCTGTTAGCTTTTTCCATGAGCTAGAAAGTCCTTTGCATTTCATTGCAGGACTGATTATTAGACTAACACAGGAACATTAATAAATAGAAACAAGAATTTGAAAAGAAACTGACAAAGAGTTGCTATTTGTAACAAATAGTTTCAGAAAAATTTTTTTATCCTTTCCTGAAATAAGTTTATATGGCCATTGAGCGCAATGGCCTTGCTTATCAGGTTGGATTATTGCTTAGGTTGTACCAGTTTATCCTTTCCTGAAATAAGTTTATATGGCCATTCAGCACAATGGCCTTACTTATCAGGTTGGATTATTGCTTAGGTTGTACCAGTCAAAAAAAAAAAAAGGGGGAGGGGGGAAGCATTAAATAATTATATTTTTAAAACCTGAARCTTACAAGTTGTTGCTGATAGCCAGAATTCATATTAGAGGGAAAGTGTGATATAATCCTGAAGTCTACAAAATACGTGTGTTTAATGTTAATCAAATATTTTGGATATGACTTATACTAACAAAATATTATTTTCTTTAAGCTATGATCAGTTACAACATAATAACAGCAGACACTTTAACTAAAGTTTTTCAGAGAATTCCTGGAGGTAAGATGCATTTGAAAAATTTGGAATGGGGGATTGTATATTGGATAGAAGGGTAGAATAAGTATTTTGTGAGGTTTTTTTGAGTTTYGGTTTTTTTTACTAAGCCTTTACAAATAAAATCTGTGAATCGTAGTCCTTGGCTATCTGTGTCAGTGAAGAGACCGCATGCTTCAGTGAAATACTAAGCAAATAGGAGTGAGTCTTCCACAGCTGAGTATTTACAAGATTATTGGATTTTTTCTTTTAGATATATCCTGTAATAAAAATTGGAATAGTACAACKGTACTTCATGTAGGAAATAATTCTGGATGAGTTGCAAATAAAAAGCATTTCATTAATTATATTAACTCATGCCCTTTTTTCCGTTCCTATACTCTAAGTTTTTACAGCAAAATCAGTGGAGCAATTTGTGTACATGTTTGCTATCTACTTTAGCCCAAAACCAAGCTAAGTTAAAACACTCTTCACTGAGAAATTTAGCCGACAAAGAGCATGTCTGTGCTGAAGTGGAAATGCATATTTGTATGTACTGTTTCCTTTCCACAGGASAACTGTAATTTTCAGCATGTGAAACCTGAAAGGTGTGGATGTGGCTTTGTCACTAGTTGTTCTGTGAATACCTGATCAAATTGATAGTGACAGGGAATATTTAATAATTTAAAATAATATGACTTCTGTAATGGGGAATCCCCAGCATGGCAAATCTTATTACCTATCTGGTAGAATACCTGCCTGGAAAGAGGTGGGAAAGCATTGTAATCTCCCAAAGAAAAGAGGAAACAGAACACAGATTTTTACATGTCAATTGCCAGTCATTTTCCAGCCATAATTATTCATCAAGTATTCATTCAAGACAATGGTTTATGGTAGCCTGACTGAAACTCAGAGACGTTTTATTTAAGTTGTCATTGGCTTGAAAAAAACTACCAGTTACACAAATAAATCCCACTGATTGCATGGAGTATTATAATGTTATTGTTGCCTTTACACGGTAATCTATTTTGCAAGTGGAAGCCAGCTGGTGGCAAAAAAGAAGGTGACCAAAAGAAACATCAAAATTAACTTATTTTAGTCCATTTCTTAGAGAACAATGCTATCCTAAGCAGCACAGTCATTGATGTCAACCCATAGTGTCAAAAAATTTTCCACACTAAATGGCAGAAAGAATTAGTAGAAKTTTTTACTTGCAGTCTCCCATCATTGACCCAGACATGATGAATGACATTAATACCAATATATATGTAGAAATGCCAGACTTTCCAATTTTGGTTTAATATATCCCATATGTTGTGCATTTGGTTTGAATTTGCAGAATTCTTGTATTTATGCCCATGCTGTGCATGGCTTCCTCAATGTTATTTAATGCCTAGTTTTCAGTGTTAGCTTCTGTAAAGGAAGTAAAAGCTTGATGACCAACACTTTGCTACTTCTAACCTTTTCTAAATGAAGCTAATCTTTTCTTCAAGTGAGTCTCTTAAAGAAATATTTTCTTTTTTGCTTTAGTTGGGCTGGATAACGTGCTTACCGACCGTCACTTCATACTTCTTCTTACCACCGTCATCTTTACCTTACCTTTATCTTTATATCGACACATAGCAAAATTGGGAAAGGTAAATCATAACAGCAGCTGATTTTTGGTTTATTGTTCTGCATGCCATTAGAAACAAGTGCCAGTCTTAACCCAATGTGAATAATAAACAAATGCATTGGTCTGCTAAAAGACAACCTTTCAGCTGCTTACTGACTGAAGTCATGTTTTTAACTTTACAGATATCCCTTCTTTCTCTGATTCTAACCATTGTCATCCTGATTATCGTGATGGTGAGAACAGTAACCTTCAGTCCACAAGTGTGAGTATTCTTACACTTGCCACAAAGTGATATGTTGATCATATATATCTGTTATTTCACCATTACTTATATCTGCATAGTTGTGGAGCATGCCTGCTTTGGGCAGACAGGTAATTGAAAAATCTCTATCAGCAGTAATACAAAAGGAACAGCTAAATATACTTCATAATTTTCTRTTTTTTCTTCTGTTAAATATAAGTACATTTAGAAAAAGTCTGAAAACCCATAGAGATATGACTAACAGCAGGTGGGTTCTGAATCTGCATGTGAGGTTGTCTGTCATTTGAGATTTTTTTTTGTGTGTTATTGTCAGATGGCCTGTATTTACAATCTTAAAATAGCTAGTATCTTAGGAATATTTCTTATTCTGCTATGATAAATATAATACTTTTATTATAATAATATAATAAAAATCAAATACAAATACTGAAATTTTTAAAGAAGGTAACACAATAATAAAATCTTTATTCTCTCTTTTGAGAAAACAACCATATTAGCATGCAAACTCTTACAGCACTCATACTCTGAAAGTAGTATTTAACATTAGAGTGTTCTAGGCAATTTAATACACAGAAATATGGGTCATGACAATATTCTTATGATTAAATTGCACGAAAATGTTAAGAATCTGTTCTTTTTCCTTAATGGTCTAGAAGGGTAGTCTTTTTCTTATCCTTTAAGTGTGTGGATATAGTAATAGAGATGACAAATTCTGTTTCTGAATGTGGAACATGTATACATGGTACTTCATATGTTTCCCTAAGTAGATTATTCCACTGGGATTGTTTCACCAGTGTAAGGCATAATTGTTCATTTGTATTACTGCTGTCATGCATGGGTTAATTGCAGGGTATTCAGGTTTAATGTTAGGAAGATGCCTAGAATAGCAGTTTCTTAAGTTTTACCATTCTTAAAATGATRTTGTCTATCATCCACAAAATCACTCTCTTGGAACAGTATGGAGAACTGTCTTTTCTGAAGCAGCATGTTTTCACACTGTGCATTAAAGGGGTATTTAAAAGGTTAATCTCAAAATCCCCTGTCATAAAAGGAAGAAGCTATATATAATGTTACTGATAACCTTGTTACTATGGTTACATTTCTTCTCCRCAGTTGTGATGCGCTGAAAATATGGAATGCATAATTTTATTTTTTTCTTACAATACATGTTGTTGGATTTTGAGTGATTCTTGAAGTTTTATTTCTTAATTCTTTCGAGACTTCCATTTCTGCCTTTTTGCTTCTTGTTTTCAAAAATGCATCTAGCAGGTTGATAAACAGGTGGTAATTTATTTTTTCTCACCAACATTCTGTTAATGTCTATATTTACCATCTTTGCCATTTTTTATTTTACCGTTAGACATAGACATATACTTGAATTGTTAAAACTCTCTTCTAGTATTTTGTTAGTTGTGGTATGTAACTTTTTTTTCGGTTTTGGTTTTGATTACTATCATCCATCTGATTATTGTTAACTGAATGACATAATAAACCTGCAAATAAACTCCAGTGTTCTGGATTATTGAGAGTTCATTCTCAGTGTTTTAAGATGTTGGATAAAAATACATTTTGATGAYCTGATATTTATTCCCACCTGCTTATAGCAGGGTATTTACCTACTGTGATAAAAAAAAAAGGTAAGAATTAACTTGAACTGTAAATGTGCAGTATATTAATGCTGTATAACTTCATACTTCAAAGCTGAAACATTCATTGCTGTAGAAAGAAATACTTGTGTAGCTTATAAAGAGGGATCATTTTAATTTAATTTGGTGTTCTTTTGTGAAGAATGTTATGATGTCAGTGTCTCCATAATACATGAATSTCTATGAAAATCTTCAAGAGCATCTGCTACACATAAAGAGGATGTGAGATCTACTCAACTGGCAACTGATCACAGGGATAAAACACCAAGTACTCAGGAAGAAAACTTGAAAGTAGAAAGTTGATGCTTTCCTTCACATAAAAAAAAAAAAACCAAAAAAACCCCAGTAGTAAGCAAGAATAAACTTTAATGTGTGGTGAAATTTGAAAAAAGCTAACTAAGCTACTTTGTATTTACAGAACTGTTAATTAATTCATTAAGGAAAAAAGGAGAGTTAAAGTTGCTTTATCTAAGTGCAGCTGACATAATAGCTTTGCCTCATCTGTGTTCTTTCACAAGTTGACTTTGATTAATATAGTCCAAGGCTAATGTGAGCTGTACTCAGTTTCCTTTCCATTATATTGATTGAAGTTATATTCAGCATCTATGAACTTTTCAGTATCTTTAAACTTTTAAAGTTCAAAAAGAACTAAAAAGGTATTTTTTGTTTCTTCACTTATCTTTACTTGTTTCATGTAATTATTACTCACTCGTCATGAAAAAACTTACTGTTCATGCAGTCATACCCTATGTTTTTATACACTTGAGTGAGAAGCAGAGAGCTAGATGGCTTTGTCACACAGATTTTCACAGCTAATGCTCTTCTTGTATAAGCAGCAGTTAAAAACTTCCCCTAATAACTCCTAACAAGAATGTAGGTCAGAACAAAGGTCACCTCAAAAAAAAAGAAAAAAAAAACCAGAAAAAAAACCCAAAACAGTCTTGAATAGTAGCAGCAGGATTGAGAAACCACAAGAGGTGTAATGTTAACCTGTATTCTTGTGATACTCTTTCAGAGTCTATATGGATCTTCCCACAGAGATTTATATGTTTAGATCAATGTGTGTGTGTTTACTTTGACAGAYCATGTTTCCTTTAGTTGCTCTTCGACTTGTGAGTGATTTTATGTGATTTTTCACTATATGGCTCTTCCATAACTAACACCTACTGTTTTCTGACACAGTTTTCCCTTTCTGAGAAGTCTTTCTATGAAGTCTGATTTTATATAGGCACTTTCATGTCATCCTTATCCTTTCCCAGGAGTTTTTCATAAGTCTGTATGTTCTGCAGACTGAACTTGGGGGTAATTTCTGATTGATGTGGTCACAGCCCTAGAGCTGTTGACTCTTAGTTCCAAACACTCAGAAATGAAATTTCTTACTGTGTGCTTTCATTGTATGAGATCCCTCTGGTCCCACAATATGAAAATGCTTTTCAAAGCACATGCAGCARTATATGAGTTACTGTATCAAGTAGTGTGTCTGTACCTGCGTGCATTGTAGGACATTGCAAACTGCTGGTAGTGTTCAAATCAGGGATCTGAAATTCTTCCTCAATTCTGCAACTAGAATGGAAGGAATTTATATTCTTAGGCTTCTAAATAAGCAGGATTTTGTTCTTTGGATTTTTTCCCCCAAATAATAGTCTTAATCTGATTTGTCATTCATCCATAAAGCAAAGCAATGTCTTGGTCTGTTGTGTATTKCTAGTGCATAAGCTAACACTGTGCAGGGAGAAAACCAGCTCTTGTGATTTGTATTTTTTAATTGTTTGCCCATTTTATTCAAAATGTTGCAAATTATTGTGCTTTCTGAATTACCTTTTTTTAATCTGTATTGGTAGGAGTTTATAATATAGCTATAACATTGCACAGGATGTACCATTTTCACAGAAATTAAATGTGTTTCAGGGAAAAGCATTTTTCATTTCTGTGCATTTAAAAATACTTCAGTTTCTAAAGTATTAGATAATCTAACTAARTTATTAATAGAAAAGGGTCAAAGAAAACTGATAAATTCTGCTGTCCAAGAAAAATATAAAACAAATTTTCATTTTGTATGTTTATTATCAAAGCTGACCTCTAGTGGTTGCAAAATGGAACAGCTGTAGTGTTAAATTCTTTTATATTCTTTTTATTTCAAAATATTACTGAAATTTTCCCAATAAGATTTGAATGTTTTCCTGAAAAATAATACATTCAAGRTTACTAATATTAATTTTCCAGAGACGTTTCTAGGGATAGTGATTTGAAATCAGTGGCTTCAAATGAAGGGAGCYTACTTAAGGAACTACAGCAGCTCTATTTCATCCATAGTATTTATTGCATCTACATGCTGAATCTGAGGATATTTTAGGAGGGCCATATTTAGCTTCTTAAGGCTTGAAGCAGTATCTTACAACGGGTCAAGATGATATACTGCACCTGGGGAAAAGGAAACAGAACTTGATTTTATGCTCAGGTTCTGTTCACTTCAAAGTTAACCTTAGCAACCACAGCATAAGAGCTGAAAAGCTGCACTAAGTATGAACTGAGTGTGCATTAGGTACTGTAAATCTGGGTTTTATTAATACAGGAAAGGAAGGATTGACTATTTGAACTCAAGAAATAGAAGGATATGAGTTCCGAGAGGCAACAGCAAAAATTTTGTACTTTATTGGTTTTACTTTTTAAAAAGTTTATTTATTTTTAGGGGCTGGAGATATAATTTAAACATTTGAAAGCAATGAAACCTGGCATAGCATGTGCCACTACAGGTATCAAAACCAGTGAGAGGGAGAGATCACCAAAGAGAGGGAGAGAAAGCTGCCATTGTTACCTTCGCAGAAGTGAGTGAAGTGTCAGACTGCTTCCTAGGGCAGTAGGAAAAGAGCAGCTAAGGCCTCAGGTGGAGCAGCTTTCCTGCTAAACAAAAAGAGTGCAATCAAGTTTAGCAGCAGCCAACTTTTTAAGAGCTAGCTTCTCTGGATTGTTTTTCATTGCCTGTGCTTTAATACTACAAATTCAGTATTTAACTAGCTTGTGAATTTCATTTGATGTTTTTAGCAAATTGTATTTCTGGAAGAGGATTCCAGAATRTGTCCTTCCTGATTTCTTCATTTTGGCTCTTTATTCTGAGATGACGTTCATGTAATAAATGGTTTTTAACAAAGTTTGCTGATGGCTTTCTGTGGTCTTTCTCTAAGTGTTGCAATTCCCACAGGTCCAAGTCTGTGAGCAATTCTTTGAYGAGGAGGTGTGCGGAATATTACATTCTTGCCTGATTGTAAAAATCACTATGTACTCTCTTACACTTTCTTTTAACTTTTGAGAAGTAGCAGAATCTTTCTACTATGAGGAACAGTTGAAACAAGTGTAAAGGAAGGCAAACTCCCTTGCTTGATTTGTGGCCTAGTAAAAAGGTRTCTCTAGACTGCATGGATTATACATTTAAATTCCAAGGTAGAAATTGCCTCAAAATAGTCAGAGAACATTTTCAGTTGAGATMACTTTAGTCAGAATCAGTAACAGCTTTTACCTTCTGTGTTGSTATTTCTTGGTATATGCTGACTTGAAGAGTTTATTTATGAAATTGAAACAGGCTGACATTTTTGACTGTGAGCACTGGTTACAGAAATATTAAAACAAGGGAGATAAGAAAGATATCTCCATAGTTTCAACTTGTTGATAAAYGATGAGGCTATTTCAGAGAGTTCTGGAGATCTGTTGAGCCGAATTCTGTATGACAGCATATTATTTGAGTAATTTTTAATAACTGATAATTAAAAAGAGGATAATCTATTAAAATATCTCTTTTAGACCCCAATCAGAAAATGCATGGGTATTTGCAAAATCAAATGCAGTACAAGCCATTGGGGTGATGTCATTTGGTAAGTGAATTTTTCTGTTTTTTCTCAGTATTAAGATAAATTGTGAGAAATTGATTAAATTTCTTGTTTCAAAGTATTAAAATTTTTAGTATTCTTGTTAAGCAGCTGTAAAAAAAAAAAAAAAAAGAAATTGACTGAGTCATCCATATGAACGTCATTGTTATTGTATAAGACATTAACCTTATCCATTGTCCATCTGACCCTAGAGGTTGTTGCCACTCTAGCAGAGAGAGTGTGCACATGAATCCAGCTCACTTGTGCAGGTCACCCTAAAGCATCTGTGTCATTGGGTTAGTCCAACTGATAAACTGAGGGGGTGTGCTTGTTCTGCATTCCCTTGGATAAGCTCYCACTTAAGAAGAAAGTGAGAAATAAGAAAAGTCCTCATTCTGAAATCTGTTCCTGTCTGCAGGATCTGGTATATTATTTCTTGTTAACGTGATAGTCTGAGGCCTCCCAATGCTTGCTGCTGCCTAAAATGGATGCCATATGAAGTCTGAAAGTAGCAAATGGCTTTATAGTCTTAAAAAAAACCTTCTCAAATCTGCTGCTGTGTTTTTAAGTAAAAGAAGAGCAAGAAGAGGAAATATCTATGGAATGGAGATTTGGAGGGTGGGAAATGGCATAGCATTTAAGGATAATGTAATCAGAATMATTTACCTTCATCAAATCAATTAAGCAAGCAAAGGTTCAAGCCGTTTATTTTTGCCRCTCATTGCAAGATTAATGTTTGTATTTAATAATGAGTGGATTCAAACTGTATTGTGTCTCTGTGCATTTATGCATGAATTCATACATTTGCTTTAACTGTCATGTGTGTTTCAGCATTCATCTGCAATCATAACAGCTTTTTAATATATGGGTCTCTGGAAGAACCCACATTAAAGAACTGGTCACAAGTCACACATATGTCTGTCTCACTTGCTCTTATCATCAGTGTAGTGTTCGCTTCCTGTGGATATCTGACTTTTACAGGATACACAGAAGGTAAACTGCTTGATCCCTCAATTTTGGTGCTTGCTATAATTCTTACATTTCTGCCTTTCTGTCTGATTTTTTTTCTGTAAACATCTTGGTGACTGTTAAAATGCAAAAAAATCATAGTATGTTTGGAAAGAAATAGGACATTCCCTATAGCTACTCAACAATCAAAACGAAATACAAAAATGTCAGCTACATACTAATAGGTATGAGATTCCCAAGCATAAGCCTCACCAGTGAATACTTCCATAATCAGAACTCTTTGAGGATCAAACAGCTATATCCACATGGTCTAACATGAGTGAGAAGTAAGAAAAAAAAACTTCTTTGCAGTATCTGCTATATATTTCTATGCATTTTCGTATACTTTTTTTCCTGTCTGTGCTAATATTAGATCCTAGAGTTAGAGATATTTCCTATCTTTGCAACAGCTGTTGTGCTGTTATTAATCCTACTGTCCCCTCTGTGGGTATATGAATACACATAAATATATCTTATCAATGTTGCATCATGCTATTTGATGTGATTTTGTTGAAGTGAAAAAGGTATGTTCATAGGAACAGGRTATAAATTGGTTTCAATGCATTGCTTTCTTCAGGAAAAATACACATTTCATAAGCAAGCAGATTTTCTGTTACTTAATAGTGACATTCTGGATTGTAGGAGAAGGCTTCCAAGCTATTTCCTTTTCTGATGAGCAGCAGCATACARTTGAGAACGGAGGATTTATAGAATTGGGAGTCCTGATATATCTGTCCTCTTTCTCGCCTCCARTACTTTAGCAAAGTTACTGTCCTAGATGTCCTGTAGGTAGACCAAGTATAGACTGGCTGAGACCTTTCAGGTATCGAAAGCTCTGCCTGCAGCWCCTCCTCAGTATTGTGTAAGCAGGTTCCATTTCAGCTTCTGTCTCCCGTCAAAATCTTTTGGTTGTTTGAAGTTCACCATATTGCTGCTTCAGTGCCATTGTGATCCTAAAAGTAGTAAATCATGAGGCAGTATCATAAAAGACCTGATGGATCATCTGATCACTGTCTTGCACTCTCTTGTGCTGCAGAGATTGTTATTACAGATTCTTTGTAGTCAACACCAAACAAAATGATTTGAATTCCATAGTGATGTTTTTATTGCTAGATACAAGATTTGCTAGGTAATAATCCATATTTTTATAATGGGCTTTTGGGGTCAAAATATTTGAAATTCTTCTCTACACTTATTAGCTATGATTAGGTACTAGCAGGGAAATGCAGTTCGCCACAGGTAACTCGCTCACCTTTTTTTATGTAGTTGTTGTTATAGGAGTTAAATTTTCAGAGAAAATTTATCTGTTACTCATAAGCTTTCTTTCTGAATCTGTTGCATATTTATTTAATCAAACACCAGGATCTCATACAAAATCTATGTTAACAGGGAGATAACAGATGAAAAACTCTGATATGTATATTTTAAAATACTTTTTGAAGATAAATACTTCTTGAGATCTAAACACTGMTACCAGCAGGATAAGCCGAAAGTTGCTCCTGGATGCTACTTGTGACTGTAACTACAGTTTCTAGTTACATGTCAGGAGAGGGGATCAGAAAATCTCAGTTACTCCAGTCACACCAGTAAYATGCACTTCAAGCTGCAAATACAGGCAAATGATGTGAAGTTCAAGCTAACTGGTATTTTGCTATGCCTCAGGAGATATATTTGAAAACTACTGTAGAGATGACAACCTTGCTACATTTGGAAGGTTTTGTTATGGAGTTACTGTAATTCTGACCTTCCCCCTTGAATGTTTTGTGACCAGAGAGGTAAGAATTTATTAGTTTCCCTTTAAYACTGTTGTTATATATTAGTAATGCTCTCTAATTATTTATACATATTGTAGCTGAAGTCTGTGGTTGATCAGTGATAGATTGCATATTTTRTCCTGCAACATGCAATGAGTATGAGGGACAAGTTTTGTTAGTTTAGATACTGACCATATAATGTTGTTTTACATTTATWATTAGTCAATGTTATATTAACAATTACTTATTAATATCAGGACTGCTTAAAATTCCAAGTTTGGCATAAATGACACTGATGGGACTGTGTTGAGAATAGCCAAAGATACATACTTTTCATGCTTAATAGTTTGCTTTTTAAGAAGTGTCTCCATCTAGGAAATCCATCTATTCAATAAACAACTGTTAAGTGGATTTATTCTGCAATGGGCAAATGAGAAAAGAGTAAATCCTAAAATCCTRCAGGTATAACTAAGTCAATCTGGCAAGTGTTTTGCAATTTTAGTAACTATTGTTATGAGTTATTTTTGGAAGAAGATGGATGTTTTCTTGAAGCAGGGTAAGTAAAATTCAGTCAGTAAAATTCAGGTGTGTGTATTCTCACACCTTCCTTTAATTTCCTAAGGTTGAAAAGTTTGGACTAAGCTGTTTGATAACATAAGGAGAAAAATCAAGGTTTAAAATTGTGGTTCTGTTTCAGGTGATTGCCAATGTGTTTTTCCATGGGAACCTCTCAACAGTTTTCCATGTTGTTGTGACAGTAGTTATCATTGCTGTGGCAACTGGTGTGTCATTAGTGTATGATTGCCTTGGAATAGTTTTAGAGCTGAATGTAAGTGAACCTTTATACTCTCCTATTTTATAAATCACTTTTTAATAAAACAAAATTTTGTAAAATCCACAGCTCTACTGAAAATCTTACATAATTTGCCGTAGTCAGTAGTAATATTAGAAAAGAAAGGTATTACTCATTGCTTCAAAATCAGGTAACTAAAGGAGAAAGGAAGTTCAAGAAGTAAAATTCATATGGTTAGGGTGTGTTTTAGAGCAGTTTTGTAGATATGGGAAATGGCTATGTCTTAGCACATGTATTTAAACCACAGCAGAAATCACTGAAATACTCATCCAAACTGTACAGTGGTACTGAAATTAGCATTTCTCTCTGTAGTCCCTGCTTCTGATGAGRTTGGCAAGTTACTAAACACTGGGGCAGATTCTAGCAACTACCTTCTGCCAAAGGGGCAAAAAACAAAGAGGGAGGTATAAAGAACCAGTAGTAGTAAGAGCACAGAGATGGTCACTGGAAATACACAATTCCCTCAAAAGCAAGCATTCCATCAATGCAGTAGTTTTTTTCCTAAGCAATTAGTCAGTCAATTCAGTTAGAAATAGAAGTTGATAGCCAGGCATTTGAATGGGTATCTTGTATCTTTGCAGCTTTTTTTTTTCCTTTTAAAAAAAGAAAATTTGACAATACMGTTGTAGGTATTTATTGGATGTAATAATTATGCTTAGAAAGATTGTTCAATCTGGATATCGACCAGTAGAGAAAAATAAATAGACAGAGTATTCGCATGTGAAGGAAAGGTGRTCTGTCTTTCCAGCTGGCTTTCTGTCCAGCAGAAATGCTGTCTTCTGGCTTTTCACCACAGATGACATTTGATGCTATTTCTCTGACCCTGCTTACTCTTTCCCTGCATTCTGGTTTTAAAACACAAGCCATTGTGTTTGCCTTSTGTTAATTCCCCAGGGAAACTATTTGGTCATATGGCAGTCAAAGGGTCACAGATTGTGCCTTGTTACTGGGATGCTGSTTTGTGTTACTTTACAGACCTAAATCTAAAAGTTCATGATGAAGATATTTTGTGCATGTACCTGTTTTTGATGTTTGTACTGATCACTTAACAGCTTCTATCATAAAAGTATTGSAACATTTGTACAAATGATGATGTGAAGTTATTTCTTCACATTAGGAAGAATTAGGATTAGGATTTCTACACATAGGCTGGATTACTATCTCACCATAATTAAGATGAAATATAGTGTTTGTTAAATACGTGACAAAGTAAACATTCAACATTTATGCATAAAATTGCTCTCTTTTGACATGTAAYTCATATTAATCTGGAATGGTGTTTTAAAAAGTGCTTTTTGTTTGTCCCTATCTAAGAAAGCATTTAAAGAGGAGCTGAATTTTTAGTGAGAGGGAAGGTTCTACTCTGTCAAAGAGAGCTTTGCTTTCATAGGGAAGTCRACCTAAATCAGGTTATAAGTGTCAAAAATTATCAGAATTCTTTGAACTTCTACATGGTAGTTCCACTTTAAAAAAATATATTCTTTTTAAAGGCAATATTATGTCTAAAMTCCTCCATGGAATTATCTTAAATATTTTAATTCAGTTAGAATATTGCAGAAGTATTTGTGGACCTTCACTGTATSTCTTAAGCTGAGAAACTTCAGGTAATCAGATTTAATGCTTCTTGCAACAGTAAAATTCTGTTCTGTCTAAACAACATATTATAAAGCATTTAAATAAATCTGACTTATTTGAATTTATCAGGTATTTTTGCATWTTATTCGAGACTTTGAGAAAAAAAGGTTTCCCATATAGCAACACTGGAAAAGGCCTTTATTCTCTGGTTTTGTTGCCTCAGTCTAATCACCACTGTTAAAAAAATTAGGTTTTTGTTCTTCATATCTAAATAAATATGCTTATGAGGTTTTTTCTATTGCTCTTTCCTACACACAGGGAGTTCTGAGTGCTACCCCACTTGTTTTTATCATCCCATCAGCGTGTTATCTAAGGCTGTCCAAGGAGCGATGGAACCATTCAGATAACCTCATATCCTGCCTGATTCTTGTGCTTGGTGTGCTAGTGATGGCAGCTGGGTTTGTTATGACTCTCTTGAGCCCCCAGGAATGTAGCCATGGAAAAGAAATGTTCTACTGCTCCCCTAGTAATGTTTCGTTCCACAACACTACGCTTCCACCATAGGTAGCACAGCAGCCTCCAGACAGAGCAGGCATATCTCGTGGTGAGGCACACATGCCAGTKTAAAGGAGAATGAAACAAAGAGCTTTCATGTTTGCAGATGCACGAAGAATTTGATACTGTATTACTCTATTTACATACTTGATTTTATGCTGCCATCCTTTTTCAGGTAAGACTTAAGTTTTAGCTGTTGAAATACAAATCTCAGAGGTGCCTTTCAGCAGACATTACTTGAATAACTTKCAAGCCTACCAAAAAGGTTGTATTTTTTAACTTAGTCTGCGATGCTGTTTAAAAGCTATAAATTAAATACTGTGGAATGTAAACCTCTCCCACGTTTCATTGATTTAACTTAGTTTTTTATTAATTTATAATCTGAAATGTGTATTTATTAATACACTATAGTATGGGGTTTTTTGAAGTCCTGAGAAAAACTGTGTCGGGATCTCTATATTACAATTATGCCACTGAATTGAAAGATGCTTGCTAATTCTGTCACTGATTTTGCAGTAACTGCCCTTTAGAGCTGAAACTTCCCTTTTACGGACTCTAAAGTCAAAGACAATTTTTTATTCCGATAATAACTGTAACTGATACAATTTCATTGTAACTGCTACAAGATGTGGTCTTGTAATTGAAAAACATAGTAGGAGTAAATCCACAAAAGTGAGTTTTTAAAGATTCAAGTAGGGAGTCTTTGTAAAAACTTTGAGATTGACAGGGAAGGAAATTACATTGCAGCTCAATTCTTACCTTTATAATATTATTTATTATTTCTGAAACTGAATTGAAACTTTGCTAACATTCTAAACCTGATTATCATCCTAGTCCTTTGATTCTTTTCAGTGTATGACTAATGATTTTGTCAMATTTTGGTGATCTGTTGTGTTTTCCAAAATTCGTTTAACATAAAGGATTCATGTATATATATGTATGCATATATATACGTAAGTTTATATAAAAATAGRCTCACAGCTTATAGAATATAAATAATTTGAGGTTGAGTAATATGAGTATGCTCAGTCATATCAGTGCTGTAATTTTGATCTTTTTTATCGAATCAAAWTGTGTATGTTTGTTAATTTTTGCATTATTGTGCTCCTTGTGGGTCCTCGTGCCTATTARAGGCATAATGCTATTTCATTTGTATGCTACTTAATGGTGACGGGTTTCTTCATCTTGCATGACAAAGCTATTTCATTCAAGACTTCTAGCTAAAGAGATCTTTAAGCAAGGGTCACTAGATGGTGATAAAACTTTTAAGAATAACACATTTTTTAAAAGAAGAGCTTCCAAAATAAATGCTTTAAATATTAGTSKTGGCTTTTTTTGTTGTTTATTTGTGGKTTTTTTTAAATTGTAACGCAATTATAGAGAAGTGTATTATTTTGCTTTAATCTCTCTATTAGAGAGAGATTAGAGAGAGATACAGCTTAGAAGGTGATGATTTATCTGTTCTCCAGGTACCTGATACTGCTCACAGAGAATATTTCTCACCAGTTTAGATTCAGCAATAGCTGATTTTGTCTTAGCTATGGGTGAGTTGTCACTGAATAGATTMACTTTCTTCTATGCCAAATGGAGTTAAACCTATATAATGTTCCCTTGTGACAGCTAATGAGATATTTTTGATCAATCAGAAATCTCTCATGAGCTTTGTTGTTCTTTTTTCTTTACTGATTTTTGTATGCTGAAGTAGTTTGCCTTGTTTCAAGRTATTAATTATAAGTTGTCTTTGCTTTAGAGTGTCAGTGGAATAATTTCCATCTCATTCTGCTGAGGCTCAATATTAGATGTCGATATTAAATCATGTTTGCATGTCCTTTATGAAGGATGAGTCTTTCTATGCTTTTCTACTTTATAAATGAAAATTTGAAGGTTTTTTTCACTGACTTTTTTTTAAAATTTGTGAAGTGTAAAGTCTGAGGTAGTAATGATCAGTTAAATGTTTTCCTTGCTGATAAAGCTTAATTTGCTCTTAGAAGCTTCTTTTGCCAAAACTGACTGGATTGATGTGATCACATGCTCAGTGGTTTTCATTCATGAATTTCCCAGGTAATGATGGGGCGCTCCAAGCCATGTGTATATTGAAAATAAAGAGTCAGATGTCATGGAAGCCAGAATTAAAGTTAACTGCAATTTGCCTATGGCTTTATAAAAGCTATGGTTCCTTCCTTTCYACTATTACATAGAGCAACTTGCCTTTCTTGAAATGACAAGTAATGTGGTGTATGCTTTCTTAGAACCAAGGAGGTTTGAAAACAGAAAGATAATACATTGTAATAAAAATTGTGATAAACAGTGTGTCTTGGAAACCCTTCAGACTCMCAAAAATAAAGTGGTAAAATCTATTGGGAACCTCTCATTGACCTTAGCATATGCAGSATCTCACTAAAATCTTAGTACTTCAAGCAGAGGTGTGCTGTCCACAGAAGTGGAAGGAGTGCTGGGAGTAGCAATATCCCCAACTCCAAATGCTCATTCYTGACACAACTTCACGGAGTGCATGTGGAAGGAGAAAAAGCAAGCACTTGCTGGCAGGATTTTCACATCAAAAGCTGGCAGTGTGACTCACTATTTCTCCAAGTTCCTCTCTCCAGCTGAGAAGGCATTTCAGGACACCAGATGTACAATTACCATTCTCACAGGAGCTAAGCAGACAGTTTTTATCTTTCTAGAGMAGCGTGCTTCTTATCAATCACAGACTTCTGAGCATTCACAAAACACTTTCTCCTGAGAGTCTGTCAGATGACCAAACCTCATGTACTACCTGAGACTCCCTAGARAATTTTCCTTTCTCCTCAAATTTCTCTCTGGAGGGGGAGCAAAATGGCTTAGGTTTGGTGAATTGACATATTTCTATATATTTTTCACACCCAAAATCTTTGCATCTCCTATAACACATATACATTACCTACATTACATTAWCTGCATCTGATAGGGGAAGGATATTCATCTATTTACTAAATACACTACTTACTATTTATGATTCACTGGAGAACAAAACTTAAAAGTAGCATGGTGATTTATTTGGAGTCTGGTGTGAATACAGGGTAAGAGTTAGGGARAAAGTACTAAAAGTGGGAGACTAACCATATTGTGAGTGCAAAATAAGAGATTGAACAATTCCTATAGCAGGAATGAGGGAGAAATCCAAAACCAAATGTAATGCACAAAATAGTTATATTTTTATAGTAGTTTTCTTATATGAAGATCTAATTTTAAAAGCAATTATTGAGTTTTGACCTAGAAAGTGTATTGCAGCATGTGTTGCTCGGATTTTTTTTTTTTTTTTTTTAGAATTGGTATAAATTCTAAAATATTCAAGATTTGAATTCAGGGCAGTAAAGGATATAAGTAGGAGCTTTCAAGCTTCTGTCATTCACTGGTATTGGAGAAACTGAAATTCAGGTGTACATGCTTAGTACATGTCCCAAAATTCTTCATTAAGAGAAATTAAACTATATGGCTATTCCTCTTTCTGCTTGTCTTTCTGTTCTGTCCTAACTCAGTGTTGATTCTAGGTGCTTTATAAGACAATACCATGTGGACAAGCTGTAGCTGCTGTACGGAATACCAAAATTGGATTCAAGGAATGTTCAGGAAGGTCTGAATTTTCACATGTGATTTCCTAAAAGAGACAGTATCTTCTGAAAACTGGAAATTCCTGCCAAGAGTCATGGATTTACTGTACTAATACAAATACAGAAGTAATGAACTGAAGACAAAGGAAGTTAGATACAAATGAAAATTACTATTAGACACCATAGGAATAAACTACAGATGTAATTTATGATTCACAGATGTCATTCTGTGGAATTTGCTTTTGAGATGGKGTCGTGTAAATTATCTTTCAGTGCATAGTCTATGTCTGCCACAAGCAGTACACTTGGCATACTCTTCAGCAGTTTCCTTTGTCTTGATGGAGGCAGAAAAGCTGACAGTGGTGATTTTCTGTCTTCCCAAGAGCACCTGCCTGAGATTGCTTGGAGAGATGTTGTAACTATCTCTTAGGATTTTTATTTCTAGAGGCAAGGGATRTCTTGTTTTTTTCTTTGTATTTATGCACTGCTTAGCAGGGTGGCCTTCTAGGTGCTAGCAACTTATTATTACGCTTTGGCCATATTTTGCTGTTTCTCTATATCTTGCTCAAGTAATGAATGAGTAACATAAATACATCACTGGGTGACAGAGGGTCCCTTTGCTTTTATTTTATTATTTTTTTTTTTGCTTATAATTGGGCAGGGGGGGAAGGCTTAGGAGATATTGTAATGTTTGGTTCATTGCATTTTGTGGCTCTTCAGAAAAGCATATGGGTGTCATACCTTATTAATAGTCAAAGTGGTTAGTAGTTATTCTAGTTTTTGCAGTGCTGCATGAAACTCTTGAGAAAAAGCAGTATCTATAATTCTATTATACAGAATGTGTTCAAATAKAGGGCTGTTCTGGCCCTTGTGGAACACTTAACTCATCAAAGGAGGCATAGCTGGGGTCATGTGATATCTGATGGAGTGACAGCTGCCTAATTTTGGCCATCTTTCATATTAACACTTTTGGAAAGCTGRTTTTCAGGACAAAAGGCAAATATTTTAAAGCTTAAACTGACTGCTTGGAAAAAAAAATGGGATACACCCTACATGGCAGCAAAAGTTACGTGATTACAGGGATGTATATTTAAAACTCTTTGCCTTATACTGAGCACTAACCTTTCCTTTCATCATACCTTTTTCTGTCACAAAAAAAAAGGAATAATAAGTTTGAGGCTCTTTTCTATCATATTGCAAGAGATACGTTAGCTGAGAAGTGACAAATACAAATATCTTCCTCTGCTGTTTGAGTATAGAAGTCACTTGACTAGGCAGGCATTCAAATGAAAAAAAATAAAAAGGAAAAGAAATTATAAAATATGAGCACCTTCAAACAATATTCCCGTCACATAAATTCACTTCTGCTTATTTKCTCCTTTCTGTTTTTCCTGTGGTTTGTTTTTTGACAGAAATGATTGTCTGTCTTTTGAATCAGATCATTTTATATCACAGCTCAGTCTTGTGATGTGTGAAGTGCAAAGTCTTTTTTTTTTTTACATTAATATTCTTAGCATCAGCCTACTGTAGAATAATAGGCATCCTAAAATAACAGGAGTTTTCACAGAAGGATTATTATCTTCCCTGAACTATGTACCGCTGTCTTCCAGAGAAAAGAGAAATCCCTAAAGAGATAGATCTCTAAAATTAAATTTTGAAGGAGGTAAGATAACAGGCATCACACAGTTTTTTCCAGCATTTTAAATCAGTGGCATGCTGCAGGATGACACCAAACTTTTCTAACTGTGCTAGTCTGCTTGCAGTGTGGGACAAACGGTGTTCTCAGACTCCCATTMATTTATTTAACAGTATGTATTAAATCTGTTCCCGTTTAATGACTGGGCAGTGGGATGAAATATTATCTTGTCTAAGAGGACAGTAATTCTTAAACTATGCAAAAAGATTGTAATACAACTAATTTTGTGCCGGAATCTTATTATCCAAGAACAATCTATACTGTGCTGGTTGTTCCAGGAACTTAACCACCATGAAACCTTCCTGGAAAGGTGGGACAAGTGTACAGTTACCCCGTTATCACAGGACAATTGACATTTTCAGTCTTTCAGAAATCAGATGTAACTGTTTCCAGATTCTATAGAAGAAGAGTAGGCCTCAAGATGAAATTCAAATATATAATTGATGGCATATCTAATTGTGCTGGTGGATTCTGTGGTGCTTGTCCCAGCTGTGGTAAAGCATGTGGGTGCAGCAGTCTTGAACTGACACATGGGGAGAAAGGAAGGGGATCTAGACCATAGAGGTGTGAAGCACTGTCAGTTTTCTTAATTTAGATTCAGCTATAAAAGCAGTGGAAATCACTGGTTGCTGCAAACAAATTCATGGGTTTGGGACTGATTTAGTCCACTSTTTCTACTCTGAAGTCTGTTGCAGCCGTTGACTAAAAGGGCAGGGAAAGGAAGAAAGATGCAAGGAAACATGAAACTAATCTTCCACATTGGCAGCTTCTGCTGTTATTTAACACCAGGTGAACCAGGAAATCAATGTAAGCGTTCAAAATGCAAGTCTTTAATAGACAGGAATACTATTTCCTCTAATACACACATAACTCAATTTGTAAAAGCAAAGAACTCTGGACTTCTTGGAGCAGAATTTGTTCTAAAAGATTTTCTGAGTTCTGTTGTGTGCTGCTTTGTATTATTAATTGCTGGTTGTCTGTTCCCACCTTCTTTCATTAGAGTGCAGTTCTTCCTTAGATGGATGTTCTATTGTAATTTTTTCTCTTAGAAGACTGTGAAATCTATAGGGTGCTAACAAGAGGGCTTATATCTTAGAACTAAAACAGGCTGCAACAAGGAAAACATCCTGAAATTTTAGAATGGCATCAAAAGATGAGACTCCTGTAACTGAGAAAGAACTTCGTTGAACATTTGCAAATACTCACAACTTATGGTTAATACTTTCAAAACCAGAGCCAAAAAAACCCCAGTACTGGG